TATATATATATATATATATATATATATATATTTAGATGTTGTACCTTACTGAAATTTAGTAGCATTTCCTAGATAAAATAAAACATTGTTTTTGCTATTCAATTTAGACTTTCAAAGTACATAGTACATTTTTTGCACGTCATCATGATATTGCTGAAGACAGACAAACTTGTGTAAACAGACAGCAATCATTTTATGACTATTCAACTATCAATCGACTATAAAGCTGTATTTAACAGTCTCAGCTAATTGGTTTCAGGCAGTTTAACATCTGGGACATTTAAATGAAATAACAAATACGTAAATGCAGTAAAATGTGGAAATGTTTTACTTGTGTGTGTTTGTTAGATGCTTCGAAACTAAATTGAATAGAATTTTGACAGTATCCATATTTTCACATAAGCATATTTTCTCAATGCACATCTGCTCTGCTAACAGATACATTGTGCCAAAATATTGTCGATGACATTTAATTCTGTATGAATACATTTTATTCTGTATGAATAAAGTGTCGCTTTTCATTTCCCTACACTTCTATTTGCGTCCTAACCACGGCACACCTATGCAACCTCATACAACATTACCAAAACAAACCCATCACGCGTGTTTTTCCCTTAAAAGTGACGTCACGACAGCCACTCTTTTGAACCCCTGGAGCGCACGAGCGCGTTCTTAACTCCAGTGCTAATAAAAAGGATTATTCTTTAAGCTTATTTGCCAGACACCTCTTGCATTTTATTGGCGTCGTTTAAAGATTAAGCAGCACTCACTTAAGGCAGGAATTTGCGCTCGAGCGGAAATGTAGTCAGAGAGGCAGCTCGGGAGGCGGAAGTGAGGTTAGAGCAGCAGTCTGCTCCGTCCATGTTATTATTGTTATTTTGGCTGTGTGATGGTTCACGGACGGCGGCCAGCCCGGGATTTCTCCGGTTACCAGCGCAGACACGAACGGCTCGCAGGCCACACGTTACAGCTGCGCGTCTGTCTCACAATAGTTTGATCGCCAGCGTTGACAAAACGCGCAAACGTCGCTGTGCGCAGCGCTTGCCGAGGACTGTCTTTATTTTTGACACTGCAACAGACATGAACGGCATCACCAAGGGCAGATTTGAGGTAACTCATATCGAGCGAACTGTGGACGTGGTCGTTGAACCGCGATAGTTTGCCCGAGGAAACGAAAACGGGCGGTGACAGGCTGTCTGAGCGATGACAGGGTGTTTTAAGCGTCTGTTTGTGTTGGTGGGCGCGCGCGAGTGACTGATTGACTGACTGTGTGCGTACCCGCGCGCGTGTGTCTGCAAGGGTAGTGTGTGTGTGTGTGTGTGTGTGTTTTGGACCGAGCAGAGCTCTATTTTTACGTGCCGTATTTAGGCTTTTGTTCGTCAAGGGTAATCCCGTCCTAACACAACGGCACCAGCTGACCGTGTCAGCAACGGGCGCTGCGCCTGAATCCGTTTAACATTAGAGTTGGCTGGTGTTCTTGGAGTTTAGATCAAGCTGATTGGCTTGCTTACGTGCCCTGAATGCGAGGGCTTGAGAAAATGTCACAAAGCAGCAGTGTTATCAAAGACACTCGCTGATGCTATTTGTCCTTCTTGTGCAAGTGTTATGGGTGAAGTTGCACCAGGCCGAGGCGTGTCTGAACCAGCTTTGGGCATATTGATTGTGCATGAGCGTAGCTGGTGCTGTGTGAGCTTTATGTAATTCATCTGTGTCATTTCATATTGTCCAGGTGTTCTCAAACAGTGATGAGGCCCTAATCAACAAAAAACTTCCCAAAGAGCTTCTGCTCCGGTGAGCCCATCATAATTAACGACTCTTATTGCAATAGATGGCAGATTACGTTGTAATAAAATTTGTAAATATCTATCTTCATGTCTGTCTCTGTATCGATCATCTATCTATCTATCTATCTATCTATCTATCTAT